TGTCAGTTCCTCTCTTCGTTCTCATGTCTTCCATTGACCTTCTGAATATTTTAGTGTTGCAAATATTATCGATCTGACTCTCTGTATTGTTATCCGGCGAGACCCACGTAGCTTTATTTATGAGTTTGTTGGGAAGATTGTGCCTCTTGTAACCATTTTGCAAATCTGTCACCATTCTCGTTCCTTTCTCCTAGTCAGTGTATGTCGTCTCATGATATCTTCATACCCGGTGTTGTCCGTTCCAACTTTGGTGTTTAGGTATCTCATCAGAATTGTCAGGTCATTTCCTGAGCACTCCGCTGTAACTGATTTTAGCCTCTCATAGAACTGATCTTTATTGAGATCGTTGGTGGGTACATAACGTGGGGTAACATTCATTGTGACTCTCTCCTCCTTTGTTTTGAAGGAAAATTTGGTGATCCTGATTCCGTGAGATTTCCATCCTATAAGTGCATTACGTGCTTTTTCGGACAGCATCGGTGCAATCCTTTGTGTATACAAAGCCTTTTCTTCTTCATGACCATAGTACGACAGTATCTCTCTCGAATCTAATCTTTTCTTTCCAGCTGCCAAGTTGCATCTACTTCTTTCCATAGATATTTGACTGGTTCTCCTAGTCCTTCACATTATCCAAACGTTCCATGTACCTATACTAATTGTTGCTCTGGTATTTTAAAAGGGGCAAAGGAAACTGTATCCCTGCTTCTCACAGTCACAGAAATCTCAAAAAGTAAATGAAAATTCAAAGTCAAAATTCACTAGAACTTATCGATTTATGCTTAACAACATATTTTCAATTCAACAACAAAATCTACAAACAAACTAAAGGAATTCCAATGGGATCACCAACATCAGGACTTATTTCAGAAGCAGTGATGCAGAGACTGGAAGCCCCAGTGATCAAGCCAAAAATTTGCATTCGTTATGTGGACGACACATTCGTCATCGTCAAAAAGGACGAGCTGGAAAACACCTACAAGCTGATCAACAATGTTTTCGATTACATCAAGTTCACAATGGAAAAGGAGTCAAACAACAAACTACCAGTCTTGTATGTATTAATCACTAGAACCGGAGACTCAAATATATTAGATGGTGGTTGGAGGTAGTCAACAGGAAACCCTGGACCCGGGTTTCGTGCTACTTCGCACTCGTCAGCAAGGTGTACCTGTAATCTTGAGGGAACTGGTGCTCCCTCAATACATAGTGCCCGCAGTGTCGAGTCACCTAGACTGGTGGCCACATTGCAACATGATCGATAGCATTCGATCTGCACTAATAAGGACTAGACAAGCATGACATTGATCACCACCCAGTGATCAATCAATTGTGACTCAAATATATTGTATGACGACCCACACAGATCAAATTCTAAATTACAGTAGCAACAACCCAAGAGCTCATAAAATCAATCAAGTATTTCTTTGATTTTTTCTTGATTTTACTGAATGTCTGAATAGGGATTTTCACTCGAACAAAAAGTAAACCTTTAATTAATAGATGCTGAGAAATTATTTCATAAGATTTTGATAACCAATTATATTGAAAACAACTAGTCCCTTTGATAAATTTCGATGATGTAATAAGAAGACGAAGATTATGAGAACTATGTGATATATTAGCGCAATATATTGTACCAATAATATAATATTGAATAAAGCTAATAATAATAATAATAATAATACATTTCGAACAATCTGATCACAAATATACTTGTTAAGAGCATTTATACATAAAAATAAAAGGTCAACTAGACTGGAAACGGGGTAAGAGAAGATAAGGATAATGATAAGAGTAATGATAATAATGTGAACACAATTCAAAACCTAATCACTCTGGATAATAAGTCAATATTACCGGGGTAGGTTTAAGGTAAGAACAAACTGTTTTTGAACACACAAAGGGGGGAATTGTTCGAAATATGTTGCGTTAATATATCACATAGTTCTGATAATCTTCGTCTTCTTATTGCATTATCGAAACCAATTATATGTTATCAGGAATACAAAAAATTCTCAGATCATTGAGCTTTTTTAATATTTTCATTCTACAGTTCACTTGGAAAAATAACTCTTACGTATTGTAACTGTATGGTGTATTGATTATTTTGAGATTATTTCTACTTTTTTTATCAAGCTATATCATAAAAACACTTATGACCTTGATATTTAGACTGAATATCTCTTTTTCACGTTGCTGATTTATTTTAACAAGGTATCCGTGATTTTCTCAGCTGGTATATACTATAGAATAATACATTTACAAAGTTCAATTATAATGGTAAGTTTATGATAATTTAGTTTACAGATCATTTACTTTAAAATGAGTTTTTATCAACAACATAAAACACAATCGAACAGATAAAAAGAACTATGTGTGATTAATTAATATTTGCAACAAAATAATTACCGATTTTTTAAAATTTAATTAGGTGATCATAGTTTATAAAAAAAACCTAATCGTCTTAATTCAATGGACTTAGATACATTGTCTGTTTATTGATTTAAACGATTCAGTGGCAATTTCACTTATTAACACACATTATCTCGATGTTAAATTTGAATAAAGATTGAATAGTTTTGAACTTTTTTTCTTGATGAGTATTTCTTTATCATAGGTATAAACTTCTAGGAGGTATTAATGCTACGGCTTTTCATACTGTCATCTTTCTAATTTCGACATTCAAGCACATAACAGGAAAAGAAGTGTTAAACAAATCAGTCTAGGAAACTTGTATGGTTTATTGCTTTCTCCAATCATTATTATCATATTAAATACACTAAGTTGTGTGAAAGATAAGTATACTTAAAGCCTAGAAACTGTAAATTAAATACAAGTGATATAGACTTACCTATAAACGAAAACTGTATCATCTCAAGACTGAAGACTTAATTCATTTAGGGTTAAATACACGGTCCAAAGTACAACTGTCAAAATGAAGTATAGCATCAGAGCTTCTATTAACATTATTCAGTCAAGATTTACTTCCAAAAATTCACGACAAATCTAAAGTTGTCTACAACTGAAATATAATTTGAGCATGCTATGAACTGGTCCAGTGTAGTGTGACCAGATATGGTGGACAAATAATACAATTATAGCAAAAATCACACCTTTCATTACTTCTTTAATGAGACTATGCAATACTTTGTGAAATTCACTGACTGAGTTGTTAAAAATAATGACATATTTGAATTTGATAATACCAGAAAATTGGAATAGAAATTCTAGCCTAACAAAATCTGTGACCTAAAATCACGTTAGTAAGTCCATACCACTAATCGAACGACAAAGATGTTATTGTGACGAAAATGTGAGGACGAGATATGACAGAAAATACTAATACTAATACTAATAATAATAATAATAATAATAATAATAATAATAATAATAATAATAATAATAATAATAATAATAATAATAATAATAATAATAATAATAATGCGTGTATAAACTGTTAAAACAGTCAAACGAAACTGTGAAGTGTCGTCTGTAGAAGTTCGCATGCATCTACATAGATATCCGTGTCAAGAATACTGAAAAAAGTACACCTAGAATAGAAGTAAAAAACATTTATTGATTTTAACAAGAAAATGCATGTACAGTGATAAATATTTAGCCCATTTCATTAGAATTTAAGTACCAACACGAGAGATTGAAACAGTGATAGATAACTCTCAAATATTTGTGTTTTGTTGAGTCAATTAATGGTGAGGAGAAATGGTGTTGGATGAAAGAAAGATCTAGTTGCTATCATCTATGTGAACGGCAACATTCCGTAATTAATTTCAGTGTTTGTTATTATTATATGTGATGGTCAGAAAACTGAATCAACTGTACTTTTACTGTGATAAGATAATAAACACATATTTTCCATTTTGCTGTTTTAAATATCATTTGCATAACAACAAGTATCACTCATACAACATTTTTAAACGTGAAGGCAATATACATATGAATACTTTAGAATACTTATCGTGTGACATTAAGTGCCAGAAACTCTTCAAAGATCCATTTCTTAGTGTGTTATGATTGTGTCACTTTTAGCGTCACATATATCAGTTGACAACTAACAAGTCATTTAATCCATAGATTGAAATCGAGTGTACTATAACTTGTAGTGTATTGACCCTAAAATTGGTCGATTTAAACTCTCTCCTTTACAACAGATCACTAGGGTCGTGATCCACCTTTAAAGTACTGGATTTACTATATCATACGTAATAAATGAAGTCATTATCCCAGGTACACTCTGTGAATGGTAGGAACTAAATTTTCTGACTCAGAAAAGTTCTAGCGAGTAACTGTGACAATCGTAGACTATTCCAGCACGGATATAGTATAAACAGAAATACAACTGTATGTAGCACGATAGCTTTAAGTCCATAAACAGTAGCAACATCTATATTTCTATTAAACCATCTCCAGTATTTGACTGTTTGCCTTCCAGTGAGTGTGCAGCTTGTAGAGAATTCAATAGCTAAACTTTTACACAAATGATGAAGTTTTAACAAGAGCTGACCTTTCTAGCATCTAATATTACTACTTTATGCAGTGGATGTTGTTTAATACACAGTTTATAAGTATAAAACCTTTTAGTCAAATCAAGTGTGTCAGTGTTATGAACTGGAAACATTTATTCCATTTTGGCCACTTGTCAATGTTTAAATCACTAGAGTATAAAAATATTAACAGCGAACATTAGAAATATATATTTCGGAAAGGAAATACCAATATTATTATATAAGCTTCAACAACAAAACTGATTTTCATCTAATCGACTGATGAAGTCACTTATTAAGTAAACCTAGGGCTGCTCATTTTTCATATGAACGCTAAAAATACTATCTGATTGTCAGGATCGCAGCGAAAAAGAAGTCCAAGCTGTTTTTCAATAGCTGAAATCCCAATCCTTCAATCATAAAAAAATCTCACCTAAATGAATGACACGATTCAGGTGAATATTGAACCATACTTAAAGAGATAATCAAAAAGAATATCATCATACTGTTTTCTTCTTGTTCAAACAACTAATTCACATTGTATAAATAAAAATTCAAGTTCTGTTGGTTATCAAGAATTTATACATAACTCGTTAAATGAGTGACGGACATTTCTGTGCTCTACTTTTAGACGTAATTGAAGTAAATAAACAAAATTTCAAGTGGAGTTTTAGTATATGATACACATATATATGATACATGCATGTATATGTGAACATTCAGTTAAAAAGTAAAATAGAATCTTTTTTGTCAAAGCTCATGAAAACACTTAAATAAAATAAAATTTCCAATAGTAATGATTCAATGCACTTGATCAAGTGAACAAACGAATATAAACAGACTGGCAAAATATACAAAAATAATATTTCAAAAGAATATTACAATGTGTAATTAATTATTAGTAAATGAGATTTAGCAACAACACAAATAACAGTATTTACAAGTATAATAGGAAACAAAATGAAATGAAAGTAACACATGACGCTTTTTAACTATTAAATTGTTTTTAATCTACGGAATGAAATCAATAAATCACAGAGTAATTGGACGTAAAGATGTTAACTGTTTTTTTTTTAAAGAAAATAAATATTTCTCTACCAACGGATGCATATGGGACAATAGTGCATAATAGAAGAATGTATACAAGGAAGGTAAAAACAGGAAAAAAAGTGATAAGATAGCTTGAAATTAACACACACATGCAAACAAACCAAACTAAACGGTTATTCATTTATGAATAATTCCCATCTACTGTTCAGTGTATTTTTCTTCATCAAATGTGTATCAGTGCTCTTTATTATAATATGTCTGCGCATATTTATATAAAAGGTAAATAGAAACATATAAATGGAATTTTCAGTCATGGACAGTCAAATCTAATAGATTATGAAGGAGGGAGAGAGGGAGAGAGAGAGCGAGAAAAATACCAACGACGAAGGAAAGAAAATGCATTAATGACAAGTGCTTTCTTTTCAGAGATGATGATGATGCTAATTGCCAGTGTTTCTTTTTTTATTTTCCATAATTCGCCGTATATTTATTCACATAACTTCATTGAAATAGAGTGGATCATGAAAATTCTTTCCATCACCAAGCTGAAAAAAGAATAAATCGTTGTGTATGATTAACTAAAGAGGTTCTCTTACAGACCAAATTACAAGCGAACACACCCTTGATACATACACATTTTTATAAAAACAAGGAATTACATAATTATGATAATAAATCGCTGAGAAATTAACACACGCAGAATATCGTTACAGAGCATCATATCATACAATACCATATAGCGCAATCAAATTTGTAGAAAACCTATTAGGATATAACTTAAATTTGTTAAATAAATGAACGCAATAAGTAAAAAAATATAGTTATGTACACCTTTATAAAGACATAAAAACCTATACAACGAAGGAAATGTGGTGTAATAATATTCACATTTTACAACTACACCGAATAAAAAAGTATGATGTTATGTACAGGTAATGAGTGTTCATCCTAATAAGGGATAACTCAGTGATTACGTACACGATCATATGCTCGAATTGAAGTTATTACCATCTCTCAAAGAGATACTATAAAGATTAGTCTATTATCTTCAGCAGAAAAAAAAATGGAACCTATGATGCTGTTAATAAACGATAAATGACTTAAGTCAGTGAGATACATTTGGACGTGTCATCAGAATTGTTGAGTAAACCGAAAATAGAGAAACGTGATTTAAGATTTGAGAAGTACGTTTTAATAACATTTACCTCAGAATAAATAATTTTGATAAGTCTTTACTAATTTTGTTTTGATCATCATATAAGGATACATACAAAGGTATTGTCTTTTTAAAGGAAAAAAAGGTTGATATAATTAACTATTACACTGAAGAATTTTATCTATAACACATAAGTAATTGATATAATTAGTTAAAAGACACGAAACCGACACAAGAGAAAAGCCCTATAATAGACTTTTTATACAATAGCCATACAGAAAATAGTTAGTATCTTAGAGAAACAAGAAACAATGTATAAAACAAAAACAGATACATATTGTCAACAATGATAATCAATTAACCATTACTAAAAGTTAGAATATGGTTACATGTGAATCAATTCAAGCATGCTGGTAGTGATAAATGAGTTGTACAGTTGATTCTGGCAACATATATATCAGTGAAAAGTAATAAAATAAAGAACATTTACAATGATTACAAATAAAAATAATATATTTGTAATATCTCAAAGAGTAGAAAAAGTGGCTTACACTGAGTCACGAAACGTCAGGAAATCTATTTTTTTACTCATTGTGATAATACAGATGTATTATTTTTATTTATAACAATCTACCCAATGCTCAATTTATTTGAAATTATCAATTCAAACCTTGGTAATGATATTTACAATGATTATTTCCTGATTTATTTATGTTTATCGTCAAATGATATTCACGGAAAAATGGAGTTGAGAGAGAATTAAGCAAATACCTAGGTTTCATCTAAAGGCCAATATCCAGTTCAAGTGTGTTTCTGATGTGTGGGAATGATAATGGTTGGTTGTCTGCTTAGTCAAACATGTAGATGGTCTGACAGGTGTCAGATGAGTTAGATATTCCCCCTATCCTTATTATTATTATTACTCACTTATTATTGATTATTCATTGTTGTTAGATTGTGTCGGGTTTTGGTGCGGAAATATATTTACGTTGTGGTCAAGCTAATCACGTGTTCTTGATCTGAGTTGTGTTGACGTCCTGTAGAATGGACACTGAGAGGGAATCTAGTGTAGATATTCGTCTAGGGTAAATTAACGTCCCGTTTGTGTAAACGTGTAAACCCAAACGTTATAACAATAGACGAAGTAAAACCGAGCGTTAATTGTTGATCTGTTAATTTTAAGGAGAAGAAATTTGAAAACTGAGAAAAGAAAACAACCAACAGCTAAAAACTAGAGGCAAATTTACGAAATTATTATTGTATGAGTACAAAGTAAACAATTAAGATCAAGTAAATTAGTATTCACTATTTATTGCACCATATAAAATACGTATGTACGACAATTAAGTGAGCTTTGTCAGAAACTGAAAGAAAAATCTGTGAGTATTTTGTTAATGTAGCTCGACTGTCATGTTTACGTCCGTTCCTTCGGCATCTGTATACCTGTTCTATATGTAAGAATCAGTGATATGATCTGAACGTCCGACCAGAAGTAGGTATATTAAGGTACTATTTATTTATTTATTTGAACACATAAATATTGGCACAAAGGGACACCAAATATATATGCGCCACACAAAACAATGAGAATTCGTAAATAAAAAAAAGAAAAATAACGAACAGATTAGTGTAATAATAATAATAATGGGGGAAACGGAAAGGTACAACCAGAAGGATTCTTTCAGTTAAGGAAGATACAACCACTTTTTATGAAGAAAGTAAGAGAAGGTTACAGAAGGATCGCAACTGGCTTCTATTCTGAGCCATATCTGATAACATCTCTAGCCAATGTGTTACACCATCTCTAGGGCCCCAACCAGTAAGTCGTGAAGGACCGACAGAACAGTCCTGTCCAACGAATCGAAGGCAGCCCTGACCTGATGTCAAGAAACACTACGATTGCTGGCCTGTGACAAGTATGACGGTGTTCTAACATTTGGCGGAGGGTGAAGATATGGTCAATACATCCTCGACCAAAACGAAAACCAACCTTCTCCTCGCGAGTTAATCTCTCTCGGGTTTTGAACAACCTACGAAGAATGACGGAAGCCAATAGTTTGGACGCAATCGGAAGTAGTTTTATCCCTCGATAGTTGTTACAGGAACGACGTGAACCCTTTTTAAAGATAGGGACAACTATCGACTCATTCCATGATGTCGGAACACTCTCTATCTCTCAAACTTCTGTAAACGACGTAGTCATTTCCTTAACCAGAAGGCCTCCACCATCTTTAAAAAGAAACGGAGGTAAGTCATCTGAGCCCGGTGATTTGTAGCGTTTCAGTAGTTGGAGTTTCTTGTAGACTTCCGTCTCATTTGGTGGATCAGTTGTCACAGGTCATGGAGGGCAGGTCTGATCGATTTTGCCAAGGCAGCAGACGAGTTGAACTGCTCTTCGAAGAATTCTGCTCATTGTCCAAGACATCGATGGAAATTAGTGATTGGCATCCCATCATCCTCGCAAATTGTTTCGCTCATACCAGATTTTTTGCTGCTAGTGGCTCGGATGAGTTGGAAGAGCCTCCGGTAGTTACCAGATGCAGCTGCTGCTTCCAGCTCATTAGCACACTTCGACCACCAGGCTTCTTGGTTCTTATGCAAGCTTCGCCCGATTTCATTACATAACAGTCGCAGTTTGTGGTCAAACTCACGGTCACCCACAGTAGACCGACGGGCTTCGATGAGTTGTAAGGAGCTTGAAGAAACCCAGTGTTTATAGGCGGGACGTTTAACGAAGCCGCAGGCAGCTTTACTCGCCATTTTGACGACGTCATAAAGTTGCAACCAATTCTCATTTATACTTTTCGGTCGAATGGTAGCTAGCCTAGAAGCTAGCTCGATTCGATACTTACTTGCAACAGAAGTTGCAACCAACGTGCTGAAATCAATCCTTTGGTGGCGGTCACTTCGTTGGCCACTGAAAAGTAAGGTAAGATTGGCGCAGCTGTAGCTGATCGCAATGTGATCAATCTGAGTCCAGCATTGAAATGCAGATGGAGGACGCCAGGTGGCACATCGGCGATGACTGGGCCGGAAGTTAGTGCTAGCCAGAAACAGGTTGTCGTCTGTGCACATTTGCAGTAGATGGTCCTCGTTATCTGACCTGAGACCAACAAGTCCCCATCGACCACCTAGACAACTCTCTTCTGTGCCTAGACTCCCGATCTGAGCAATCAAGTCTCCGTCTAGTACTACAATATCTGTCGAACGCACTTTCTGGAGAATAACAGATAACTGGTGGTTAAACTCATCCTTGATTGCATCCGGGCTGCAATCTGTCGGGGCATAGGCGGAGATGACGAAAAGACATTGTTTCTCACGCCGATTTCTTTTCACTTTGATGGAACTTTCTAATCTAACATCACATAACCGACTGTTAATGGGGATCCAATCGATTAGTGCTGCCTCAGATCTAGCGCTTAGTGCGACACTAACGCCAACAAGACCAGACGAAGATGCTACAGGGTCTCCGGATAAGCGCACGTAAAACAAGCTTTTTGAAGCGATAGATGGAAAGCAAATTTGTAGTACTTCACTGGGGTCTTGAATACGGGTCTCGGATAGACAACAAACGTCGATATTAAGACTTTCCAAAGACAGATAAGGCACTATTGTGAGACCTGAGGATTGAAATTCTAACTTATTTAGCTATTAAGTCATTGCTATCAGCATACATAGATCTGGAAAATGACACATTTCACTTGCATTTTCTAGCGTTTCGCATACTTCAAACTGAGACGTGGTGAAAAATTCTACAGCAGGTATACAATTAGTTCATATTACACATTGGTATTGTCTAAATAACAGTTCGTAAGTATTTGGGGCGGTGCCTTAATGGTTAAGTCATTGTACTTCCAATCGGTAGGTCATTAGTCCGGATTCGGCAGTCCGGTAGTACTACTGGTCCTTATACAACTAACTTGGTACGAAGCCGAATACATAAACTTACTTCTAGTAAATGTGAGCCAGTCAGTCATACAAAATGTCGAACTTGACACAAAAGTTCAAGCTGCCATATGCCATTAGCATAACGAAATTAAATTCTCAGGGTAAATCGAACAGTAATAGAGGTGGTAGCAGGATTATAAGATAATTAAGAAACCTGATTCCTACAGTAATACGAAGAGTGGATGTACCTGTACTATTGCAAATGATTTTGGGCCATCTCACTTAATTACGCAGACCCCAACCAGGTAACCTACACATGTGTAGATGCTTTAGTTCAACAGTCAGTATCTTCATAAACTGATGCCATGTCTTGGTTTGGCTGACCCTTACTTTCTCCTAATCTATTCCTACACTAGCATTCATCGCCGGTTGAGGTCGCTGGTGGATGGGTATACGTAATATATTTCCTGATAATCCCAGTCGATAGAGATTAAATACCTCGCCGATCGATTTCTCATGCTTACCTAGTACTCCGCATACAATCTCAGAACAGCCATCTCGATGGTCTCAGAATACGCGAGCAACACCTTGAAGGCAGATATGATCAAATACTATTAACCTACGAATACCCTCTACTGTCAATAGCCGTAAATCATGCCAAAAAATACAACAGAGAGAACTGCACACAGTAAACTTATCTCCTTTGGTTGGCCAACGAATATATCATCTACGCCATAAATGACGCAATTTGATAAATGGGTAACATAAAAATAAAATTTATGAAGTTTTGTTTCAAAGATATATTTAGTTAACCAACAGACAGTACTATCACAAAAACTAAGGCTCAAAAACTAACAGAATCAAGTCAATTATCTGACGCTCTTTTTGTGACAATACTAGAATTTTTCACTGAATATACATGCATGAAAATATCTCTTTAAGCCGATGTACACAAAACATCACTCTTTTCAGCATGCATATAGGATGGTTCTGTTTAATAATTGCTTATGACAAGAAATATATTTTATTTTACATTTTTTCATATTAGAGTAACCTATATTAGTATGAATAATAATAATAATAATAATAATAATAATAATAATAATAATAATAATAATTCATTTGGTAGGATAAGTGAACTAACTGATCAGACAGCATAACCATAAAATATTCATATTTAAACTAAATCTTATGATTAATAGTCCGTTACTTAATAAATAAATATATTTTAAGATTTACCAAACTATCTAATGTATTCCAAATAGTACAAAAATTACAAATGATTGAATATTCTGTATTAATGAAGGTAAGATGGAAAAGACAATTAAAAAAAGAATGAAGTTCAAAATGGCAGTACTTCAACTTTCAATTTTTCTAAATACCATAGATGTCTAGGAAAAACACAAAATGCAACAAGAACAGTGAAAAACATTTGCCAAAGCAAGACAACGGATGATTAGAACTATAATAACGAGAAAAACAAAATAAATGACAAGTTAATCTAAATATTACAACAGAGATCAATTTTCTTTGGTGTAAATCAGGGTTTCTAGCTAATAAACCTTTTCACTACAAAGACCTCAAAGAGGTTAGATTAACGATTAGTGACTTTTTCCAATCAACAAATTACTAGTTAATTATTAATTCTAATGAAAATTGGAATAATCCAAGATGATTCCTATGTTATGATGCAAATAATTTCTACACATATACAAACACAAGTAACATACGTAGATAAACAACAACACTAACATTGATCATACTTTCCTAGCTGAATAGATATCGTATAAACTAGATAATAAGCAACAAGCAATCATTTAAGAAAATCTATGTATCGCGGAAAATACGATTTTTTGTCTCCAACTTTTTGCACTGATATAGACAAGAAAACAGGATGGACGACTATGCATTATTTAAAAGAATCAACAGCGTTATACTATCAATCAATATTTTGACAAAATTGAGTAAATAAAAAAGATTAACAAATGTAGCTCATGCTTACATATGTACTTTTATGCACATAATATCTTATTGTTGTTTTAATATCTAGATAATAATTTTAGGTTCATTAAAAATTACAATTCTATATTTGCATAATGATTGCTATATGAAAGCGAATCACAATACAAACAGTAATAGCCGGAGGAAATACAACAATTGTAAGACAGAAACCAGAAAGCTAGTCAGTGTATGGCAAGCACACAAAGTTAGCAGAATCGGATAGAAGCAAGTAAAAAATAAATGAGAACTGAAATTAGAAAATAAAATCTTTTTATCCTAGTAGAAAATCAAAGAACAAATAATAGTAATAATATAGTTTTTCACCATTATTACTGTACTCGTAAAAACACAACTTAGTGGGGTTAATTCACAGATGAAAAAACTTATTTACTATGCAGATTAATTTACAAGTGAACACACTGGCATGCTGGTTGAGCCTAGCAGATCACCGCAACATATGAGAATATGGAATTAGGGAAGATGTAGTAAATCAAAAAGTTATAAGAGCGCAGTTCGTATCACGGTGCTTTAATTTTAAGGGAGCAGAACTAACCTTAAACTTATTGTTACTATCATTACTAATATTAGTGTCATCATTATCACTGTCTAGTTGAATAAGTTGTGCACACTTTCAGTATGAATATTAATGTGAAAAAGGGAGAAGAAACAACAGTACCAACAATGACATAGTTAAGATAATAGGATTTATATAAATAATGATTGTAATCACCATCATCATTGTCATTAATATATATATATGCGAAAATGAAATGCCAACTTATTACTCATTGAAATGAGGAAATTACTAAGAGAAAGTCCACATCACTTTCATTTGTCTTAATAATCAAACGTGCTCATAGACGTTTACGAAAATGATTTATACACTGAGATTTAACAAAAGGAATGTATACATAATATAAATTTTGCTAAACGACAGAACTTTAGTCAAAATATGAATTGTATCATATTACGAGAAAAAACGAAATGAACATTGACTGCTTTTTTATCCTTATGTAGTCCGATCAAACCATTTATGCTACTAGTATGTAAGTGAGACCGACATGACTTTATTGTCAACTGTGAGAAGATAAAATAAGCATTTACATTAATATTAATATTAATGATAATAAAGCATTTGCTGGTTGATAACGTTGTAGACAGTGAAACTGTATAAAACATCTATGTATTTGTAACAAACTCAAACACTTCAGAAAAATAAACTTTTAATATTTAAGCTTACTGCTGATCATTAATCGAACTATCTACATTTTGTTCATTAGCTCCACGGGATGCTAGTGATAATCATAGCAGATAGATTTTAAGCAAACGAAGAAAACAAACTAAGCCCTCTCATTAGATATTTTGTAATGTGCAAATAAATTTTTCAAGCAGATACCGAGAAACCCTAAACATTATTTTGTCCAACTACAATAAAAAAAAGAGTACATACCACAATCAGTCCATTTTTTGTTTCATGAAGGTAAAAAGAGAAGCTGATTTAACACTTTGAAAATTAAGTCGTATGACTTGACAGGTGTGGTAGCCTATTACATACCCGGGTATTAAATTCATAAATCAGAGACTTACGATTTTAATCTTGGTAAATTTAGTCGATTACCGCAATAAAAGTAATTCTGTCATACATAATCAACCACTTTAATTTGAAAAGCTAGATATCGGTTCAATTCCCTCTACAATTTTAATCGTAAAAATTATGTATTATATATATAGTGCTAAATAAATAGGTTATTCAAACACAAGTCATTTTACCCCGCTGATAAACTTCGTAAAATGCAATTTATTACAAAATAAAATCACAAATAAACGCGCTTACTTCCACAGGTTGCACTTTAACAGTATTCATACTGAGTGTAGAACTGATTGATGCCTTCTCATTGGAATAAAATACAGTAGTACTGTCACGTTTAAAATTGTCAGGGTAACTATTATTTCTATCGTTATTGACAAATGTCCCACTTTTTTGTTCAAAAGTTGTAAGTAATTTGGCAAATTTATAACAACATGATGGTAATGATTCGGTCAGTGGTGGAGTGCTGTGTGTAAGTAATGGTTTCAAATAGCTGCAAAAAGAGTAACAAACTAAAATTACTTACAATTTAGCTTCAATATTAGTCAACATAAAGTGAAGCGCGAGACGTTGAATTACATTATAACACAACAGTCTAATATCTAGTAGGCGCAACGCTCTAATCTGCTGTAAACGTAATTCTACTGACATTTTCTAGTAAATTAAGACAGGTTATATCACAGGGCATTGTACATCAAACGAGTGGTTAATATGCAAATTGCACACCAAAAATTCTTTGATCTCAAATACGATTACCAGCAGGGTTGGGATTGCAGGCTCCTAAAGAGTCCCAAAATGGAATGACCAATTTTCCCTGGTCGATAATGGTTAAGATGAAGTCAATCTGTGACATAAAGTATGTTTGGATTTAATGACTCCTATAAACCCCCTATGGTAACTTTTTACTAATTGGATAGTTTCTTTTTGATTATCTTAAACATGACAAAATACAAAACAGTTATTTCACTTTTCCTTAACCAAATACTTTAAAAAATAACACACTGACAGGAGATGAAGGATAAAACATACTACTCTCAAACTAGTTATATTACCCGCAATATTACAATAAATACAAGTCTAAATATATCTAAGACGTGTAAATGCAATTATCATGAAGTGATAGGAAAGTATTCTTCGTAATTCATTTGATGTTTTTAGTGGAAACTTCTGAGTCTAAAACTGTTTATAAAATAAACTTATTTTATTTAGGGAATATTTAAAGTGACAGATGATAATTATTAGGTAGTATTTCAGGAGAATATTTTAACCAAGCTGATCAGTCATTTAATTCTGAAGGTATGAAAAAGGACTCGATTGATACAGAAACTACCTGTAACAAGGTGTTAAAATAATGTGATTTAGACAATGAATCCAGCGAACGACCTGACCTATTTAGTTGGAGAAGCTGACAAATCACAACGCACAACTTTATTGATATCAAAACCAAAACGTAAAGTCAATCTTTGTGAATGAGACACCTAAAAAAACATTTAAAGAAACCAAAGGAATTAACCAAGTCAGATCTACGTAATCTCAACTGACGGGGAAACTATCATATTCAGTTAATTTAGATTAGGAATGAATAAAATAAATTTTATTATGGGCTCTGACAAAAATAGTGTTAATCAATACAATAGCCCTGTGATATGAAAGGCATGCAAATTCATGTAAACGATCACTTACAATTTATCGAAACTCATCCAATGAGAACTACAGCAACTATGATCATCAACCAAATCTTCTTCCGTATCTGTATGCGGCTAGAAAGAATAATCATCACGGTTTTGATTTGACATTAAAATAAGGACGATAATAATACACCACGTTAGGAAAAGTCAGACAAGCTAGGAGATTAGAACACTTCTCACATGTTTAAGCTAAAAAATATATTATTGTGGGTTACTTAAAATTAACTTCTGAAGCATAATTATTTAGTTACTTGGATTCTAGCTTCCAAATTAAGTGTAGTTATGCTGATTAATAAATTAATATGACAAGCCACATGTTTTTTCTTAAAAATGGATGACTAAGTAGTATGCAAAGTTATTTTCTAACTTAACCAATGACATAACTGGTATATTGAAAAGAATATTACAGAATATGGTTTGAAACTAGCTAATTAACACTATTTCGAATAAATCTTTTAACACTCACGGAAAAATTTGAATCACTGCCTACGATGCTATTATTACCAGTTAATAAATTTGATGTCATAATACCCTAGAATTTGTACATATAATTATCTCTCAGTAAATGTCACAATTTAAATAGACTCAAACAAGAAGACCCTAGCTATATTTCGAGAAATCTAGATTAATTTCACACATGTCCTAATAACGAGCTACCAAGCGTTGATGATAATGAATTATCAGAAAGATTGGAAGGAAAGTTTTGCTTAATCAAATGCAATAAGATTCAATTAATTGGTACCTACTTATCTACCTTATATTATATAATTAACCATAAAATCCCTTTCTTTGTGATAAATAAAATATCTGTTTTCACCAGAATGTTTAACATAAATAACTAAGAAGGGTTGAAAATTACGTACTGACCGACTGGTCAAAACATTCATTAAGTTTATTTCTGATGAATCGGGTACAACCTCAACATTATTGTGTAGCTATTGGTAGTCAGTTAATCATGATTTTTATAAACTTTTTATTTATCTTACTAAAAAGATCATCATATTTCTAACTTGTTTTCAGTATAAATTCTAATCTAATCCAAACTCATATATACAAAAAACAATGGCAAGAGATTCACTTCATGACTTACTTGGTTTTTACTGTTGCAATCTACACCAACACTAAATATAAACGAAGGGAACAGCTTAATAAGCATTTTACATCAATCCATAAAACAGAAATTATTAATACATTTACAAGAACGAATTGCCAATTAAATAAATTGAAATGCGGAAAAAAAACGATTTATGACATGAAGATACAAAAAATTCCTATACTGTAAACTAGAACAACATATGTGAGCGAACAATGTTATTTTCGATTAGATAGTTTGAATCCAGCATCTAAACAAGAAAATCCCAAAAGAATCCCATTAATTTGATAATTCAATTATACACATTTTACATCCATGATTTCGAACTATAATATGGCCACGACTAAACCTGAGTCGGTCAGTCACAGTTCTGTAGCTCAACATGAAAATCAGTAGCTGGATACCATAATCGACAATTTCAGTATCCTGATTCCTTAGGAAAATTTGTGGATGTGTGTCATTCGTTATGAAATCTTTGTAACTATATACATAAGGCGACTCTCAGCCAGATAAATGACAAGAAAAATTAAGCTAACACCATACGATCACGATACGTAAAATTGCTAAGGCAACTGTGAGAAAAATATTTAGTAATATAACATGAACGACGAGAAAACGTTTGTTATAACGATGTGGATGATATCAGAATCATCTCAATAAGAAAATCTCACTTTATATATATATATATATATATACATCATAACCAACATTTTAAATTTCAGCTACTTATGTTAGGAACTTAAATATTTATAGTGAATTTACGAAACTTCAATTAAGAGCAGGCATCTTCTCCCGTTGATTTTCACGACTGAATAGACCAGCTACAGAGTCTCTTTAAACGGATATATCGTGCGTTTATGTCTGGCAGTGACCAGCGACGGAAGTCGAAAAGTACGTCTAGCTTTCACGATGAGGATGATAGCTTTATGTTTTTGAATAAACAGGTAACAGGTCCGGATTACATTTGCAACATCAAAAACTCATAATAATGTGCATAACAGATAAACCAATGTTTTAATTGACTTCAAAGAGCAATTTTGTACGTTGAATTTAGATACCCTATACCTGAATCCAGAGTAGTGTTATGCAGTACTGTAATCTACTGTAAGTTTTTTTAAATTAATTAATTTTAACACAGATTTTGGTGCAAGGAGGCACCAAATACATATGCACCACATAAATCATTCGATTTGTGTGATCGCTGGGATATTGCCCGGGTGCCCAGACCGAAGCAGGTGGTTTTCTTAGGGGGCCACACCCGGAGCCTTCGACTTAAAGGTCTAATCCACAAGGCAGCGGAGCATCGTAAGGATATGCAGTCCCATGGTAGCCGGTGACCAACCATTGGTTCATACGCCGTTTGTTCCTTCAGAATACTGGAGCCCACGTGCACCATTGGTTCGGAATCAGGGTTTTCCAACTACCCTAGGTGGACTCTCAATGTCCACCAACTCGGTTAAAGCACCAGACATTCGCTTTTCGTCCTCTCAATTTCGTAAACAACACCCCTGCCACGAGATGGCAGTGAGTAGGACCTCCCTGGCAGAGGCTATGTACGCGTGGCCGTGTGAGAGCACGTCAAGAGGGAGAGCAGACTCTCCCCACTCTCGGCCGTACCAGGGCATTTGGGGGCTCTGTAAGTTTGATAACTTGATAAGGTTCACATCTGAGTATAGTTAAGTGGTTGAAGGTAAAAGGAGAAATTATGTCATGTCACATTATTTTTTGAATAACACTAACACACCCATAAAAACTTACGGTATCTGCAATCTGTGAAGTAACGATATGGCAAAACAACCTCCCAATAACACCGTAGTCATAACTATTACAATAATCGTTGAAAAAAACATCCGACGTATTTCAGAACTTGTATTGCGAATCGCTAATGAAAAAGCCATGGCACCCCGAAGGCCTGAGAAAAAGATCATGTGTTGAAAATTTAAAGTGATTTTGTTAGATTTATCCTTCCTGTTATTATCAGCTGAAGTAACTGCGACACTACCTGAATCAATTGAATTCGACAAAAATGATGATCCAGGCACAATATTTTTATCACTAGAGTAAGACAGTTGGGAATTGGAATCAAACTTTCGCTTCAAACATTTCGTAGAACAGGAACACTGATAAGTTCGACAAAAGTTGATGAGGGCTGTAAGTGGATATACGCTGACTGCCCGAGCAATTACACATGAGAACAATGCGATAAATACAAATCGAGCATTCCAATAATGATGAGGGAAAGTAAACGTTGAAACACCGATATATGCGAAAACAAAGTTTTCCGACAAGAAGTTAAGTAGTTCAAAAAACTAAATCAAAATAAATAATCATCAAATTAAGTTAATACTTTATAACTTGATCTAAATAATTCAAATGAATAAATAAAATGTGTCTATAAACTGGTGTCCTGTACGTTGCTACGTGCGTATGGTCTGTTGACAGTTCCTGGTTGCTTACGTAGTAAGATGAAATTTCGCTCTCAGAAACCTGACTGATATCGGATTAGTAATGACGGTTTCACAGATCTAGGAGCACGACCACATAGCACAGGAAATAGATACTTGATGCTCGTTACGTAGACTTTTTGTAAGTAGCTTTCTACATAAACTCCGTGCTTTGTAAACCTTACAGTCGACGCTAGAAATTTGTGGGACAATGTGCGCCGTTTTTAAAGCCAAACGTCACTACACCCCCCGTTCGTTTTCGGAGAGTTAGTGATAATGGTTCGCCGTGAGAAAAGTCTTATTGCAGCCATACTCCAGTAGAGATGGTAGTATGACTTCACTCATGGACTTCGCACTTGGTGTTTTTGTTCATATTGCTATCCAACAATTCTGCTTACATGATAGACCTCAAAGAACAAGTGTTTCAGTAAACATACATAGGCCTGGATTTCACGATAAGCAATCTCGGGTAGCACTACGAATTGGCAGACAGTAGAGATTCAGAGTATATATTGATATACCTACTAAATAAAAAGTCTAGAAAGAGGACAAGATGTTTTTTTCGATATTGAAACATGATAGTTCGTTCCTTAAACTTCAGAAGTGATTTATTTCAAACGACGGTTTCTAATTACGACAGGCTTACGAATAATTCTAGAAGAACTCCTTTACTTAACTGTCACGTGTACAAATTTCTGTGAGAACTCCCACTTTACTTCATAAATGTTGCAGGCTCCCGAATTACTTAAGTTACCGATCGATACGATTTTTGAGTACAATGTTGTCTATTGTTTTCTAAACATCACGATGAAATTAGATAACGAGGTATTTCAGGTAGTATATACAGTAAACTTTTGAAAATATTGTTAGACTGAAAGTTAGAAAAATGTCATTGTAAGCCTGAAGCTGGCTTCGAACATGACATACAGATATGTCATCGGTAAACTAACTTTTACTAGTAAATCCTCTGATTTTTACATATTATTATAACTATTGAAAGGTAACTACTTGGGGAAGAGTTTTGAATACGCTCATTTTATTTCATAAACTATTAAACAAATAAAACTTCGGAGATCGAAATAGTTCTTATCATGAAATGTTCCACCCTTTACCTTATTTAGGTGCAGGAAAGTGACTTAACTTCTAATAAAGTGTTTCACAAAATCTAATTATTTCGACTGAATTCAAGATAACAGGTATCATTCTGAATAATCTATTTGAATAAGGATGTCGTCAGTACATCACAGCTTGTTATCTATACCATGCTCCTGATATGTAAGGGATAGCTTTTGGGTAAAAACTGTATCGAAATAGTCGAAAGTTGACTGGTCTAACCACAAAGCAGAAGTTTGTATATCGCCCATTATTCAACTGATATGATGGGTTAAAAAGGGAAAATTACATTTCTGACTCATTATGAGTTTTTTCTTCGACATTACTTCCGCTTTTAATTAAATACGATTATTACTCAGTTTAATATTTATTTTATTTTTCAGTGGGATATTTTGTTTAGTATAACACTGATTTCAGTGCAATATTTATTCAAGATATGATATTCTTTGTATTGAATCAACATAAACTATGTTCAGCATGATATATAGCATGAGACTGTTGTAATTTCATGTGAGTGACATTTTCCTACTTATAGTGATAATTCTCATTTTGACATTTGGTAAATAAAGAGGGGACGAATCGGGCGAAGAAATTTCTTTCCAATTGAAAATTTTTTTCGCTCGATTCGTTCCTTCTTTGTTTTCCTAATTGTTAATCAAATGGACGTGCAAATCGAGATATAAATGAGCGTATTTTGAACTAGGGTCGTCCTGTTTTGGGGGTGAACAAACCTTCACTTATACCAATATTCTGTGTTCTTAGCGCTGAAGAAATTGTAATGGATTCTTATTTTTCAAGTACAATTAATAGGCGGTGTGGACATAACATTACCACTGATAGAAGTAATTGAAAGATTATAGTCTATGAAATGACAAGATAGGATGGTGGCTAACTATATTGTACTAGCATCTGTTGACCGATCCCGGTTTATATGAGGTACAAAAAATTATACAGCTGGACGCCCGTAGATATGTTATTTGGTCCAAAACTTTAGACAGCAGTAAAGGTTATTCTATGTTTCCTATTATAGTGTGTCTTCATGATGTACAAGGCTAATCAAAACGAGAAGTAATGCACAACCAAACCATCGCTACTCCATGATTATTGCAACTATGTGCGACTGGTCAAAATTCAAAAATGAATGGTGCCACTTATGAACGATTTCCCGATCTTAGAAACTATTTCATATATTTATTCGTACAAGTATTTAAAAAAAGGGAAGCTTACAGATTTTGTCCATACTTTAGATTCCTGGGATAGGTTGTTATAAGTGTAGTGTGCTTGAGTCACACCACAGAACAACACGGAAACAATACCTAAAAATAAATGAAATCTTAAGTTGACGTATGAAATGAGATAGAAGTAAGTAAACAAGTGTACGTTAGACAAGTAAAGACGCTATATTGATGGCTGATATAAAATATTTCCATAAGAGAAGACACATGTAAATTCTGATAATTACTTATTTCACCAAATATGGTGAAAAATGTTGTTTGCGCTTTGAATTTATAGGTTTCATATTTTAACATATCACGGTTTCAAGATGAAAATACAGTCAACACCAAATGACTCCACTAGCTGCCATGTCTGAGTTCAGTTCCAAAATTAGTAAGTACTTAATTATTTTGTTAATGATTTACGAAATTCGCCAACAAAACTGACAATCAGTAATAAAATAATAACGCAAATAAACTACTGAAAAATAATTTTGAAAGTTTACGCTAACGAGTTTATGTTACACACAAAGAATAAGTTCGATAAGCTGATGATTTCTTATTGATATAAATGCTGAAAAACCAACCAGTACATCTGTGAGAGATCTCGCAGTAGAAAGCTAATTAAAGTCCATATGATTAGGACTGAGTTTAAAAAATCTGATTTTACGGTGATAGTTTTGTCATTGTGTAAACGCTAAACTCTAAAATAGGTGTTGACCAGCTATCTTAACGAAGGAAAGGCATGTTTAATCAATAAAACTAAGTTTGTAGTTACTTCTCCAAAACGTAAGTAAACTATGTAGATCCTACATCTAACAAACAGTATCCAGAAAGTCAACAATCTTATTGTAGTAGTCTTCTAGTTGTTATCCGGTTTTTGATGAATTGTCAGGAAATATGAAAAAACAAACCTAATGACTGTATTGAACATCAACTATCTTCTACTTGTTAAAAAAGTAACATATAAATATCTCAAAAAGAATAAAATACTTTTCAAAGACTACAAAAATTTGACACACACACGACAGAGGTTGCAACTGAAGTGTCAAAAAGCGTACGGCTAAAAAATAAGTTGAAAGCAAAGATTCTGGATGGTAACTAAGTATAGCATATAATGTGTCAAAACGAATATTCGAGAGATTAAGAAACTAACCAAAAATTAGTTCGGAAAACTGTGATTCAATGAACTTACGAGGAAAATTAAGCTAAAAAAATCAGTGACAACAAGTGTATATTAAACGTCCTAATGATAGTTTTGCGAAAGGCAGAAAACCTCAGACGAGATTTCAACTGGTATTTGGTGTATAAGTTCTGGATTATATAGTGGCACACACTCTGCAGGCAAAAACAGTAATGACTGTACGAAAGAAGGTTGTTGGACTACTTCTATTCACTTAAAAGCGAAGTACTTTAAGATCTGAGATTTGAAAATATATGAAGGCTTCTCTGAGTCAGTTCTTTTCATAACATGTACAGTTTTATTGACCGTGAGGCACGGGTAGTTTGGGCCAATAGAAACTAAAAATTAACTTAGGCTACTGATGACTTCATAATAAATACACTCATTAGGATTGACAAAACAATTATGCAGCCCTATTTTCAATATAATATTGTGTAGTCAGAATAATAAGGACGTTAGTGTACACAACATACAGCTATATGTTGACGCAAATAACGAGATTTAGTGATTATACGGATTTTCTCATTTTCTACTAAAAGTAGTTACCGAGCATAAAACAAAACGCTTTGACAGTAAAATTAGAGCTGTTATTTAGTGCATGAAATAACTTGTTCAAAAAAGAAAGAATTCCACAAATTAAGAACGGTACGAAGGTGTCAATATAGGTAATGCACGTTAGAATATCTGAAAAAAATGTATATTTAGAAAATGATCAAGTTTCCGATACGATCAGTTGCAAACAAGCAAACCAGTAACAATATTTTAATGAGTATTATCAGCAAATATAGAACATCTAAATTTGGTTGATAAAAATACGATTGTATACAAAATTAGTTGGTTTGAATTTTGCTAGAATATACATTATTTTACACTTATATGATTTTTAATATACCATAATTAAAGATGGTCTTGTAGGAGAATCAGTTTGTTCAAGATTGTCATTGGTCAATTTATTGATATTTTTAAAATAACTATCCTAACGTAGTTTACTTAATTTCATTACACAATGGAAGGCTTTTTATGGTGTTCATCACGGATTACAGCGTCAATTACAAGCGAACACTAGGCTTGTAAGGATAAGTAATGAGTATACTAATAAACTATAGTTAGAATTCTTTAGATCATAATATGCACCCACTGAAAACTTTTGATATCAAAGCTTTATTCAATTCTTCTGTAATGTGGATTATTGTAGTAAAACTTATCAATTGCGCTATCTACCGAGATAACTAGACTTAAATGTAGCAAATAAACAAAATAATGGAGGTAAAACTTTGCTTTATAAAAGGGATATTTAAGACTTGACTATAATGTTTTGCAATTTATTGGAATCACATAGAATACAAATCATAAAACTACCAGTTCATCAAATGGACGATATAACTTACAGGACAAGTATCAAATATTATTCAGATGTGGTTTAAAATCGAACTAATTATAAATAATTGTAATTAAAATATCGCTCTCATATTAAATGAGACGGGACAGAAGAATATTTATCGCAATATGAGTAACTTCAGATTTAACCATATTTTAACGAGCCAAAAATAACCCGGAAACTTGCATAACTTTGTGTCATTCCTGATCTCCAGGGAGTTTCAATTAAGCTAACCCAATAATAGATTAGTGTCTTTACCTATAACTTTTGGTGTAAGTGTAATAAACGAAGTCTTGGGTAGTAGACCAGTATTTTGTAATATGCAACATTATATACTGCATTTGTAAAACATTAAAACAATACATTAAACACGCTAATTATACATCTTTCTTAAGTTATCTCATACAAACTCCAACTCCCACTCATGTTGTTATTTTGATCGCTTTCCGTTTTCCTTTTTTTCATCAAGGATTCCACTTTCGGTTGCTGGTACATACTACTTACATCTGCCCATTTAAGTAGCACACCACATAAGTACCAGTGATGTAACTTATTTAATTAAATATATCTAGCTTACATACAATAATAGTGACGTTTAGTCGAAAATGGTCATCTAGTTATATAGCATTATGATAAGTCTCGCAACAAAATCAACTTTGTTCATTTCAGTACAGTGATCTTTTTCCTGATAATCAGCTTTAGGTCAACTAAGAGTGAAAATAACCAACTTAGCTATACGAGAACTATTCATCGAAGTATAATAAAATATAATATACACGTGACTGACCCGTAAACCCAACAGTTTCAGCAAAAAGAAATGTGCTATAAGACATTAGAACGAACAAAGCTGTTTCCAGTAGAGGATGCTCCTTGATGTGTGTAAATTTTGTAAGAAGAGACGTTACACAGCCAATAGAAACGCCAGTGACGAATGAACCTCCAAACATTATAAAAAAGTTTAACACAGAAGACAGGAAAGCGTGGCCATCAAAATTACCAGCAGAAATGGATCCATATTTTTCGATCGACCTGTAAAATCAAATTTACTTTGTTTTTTATCGATACTAAAGACTGCTTACTGAATATACGACCGAAATTTAGTAATAAAAATAAACGAGCAGAATGTAACTTACTGGGCTAAGGCAATTGCTAAAGCATCGTTAAGAACACTCTCACCAAATACGAGTGCATACAAGTTGACATCAACTTTCAAGTCACTAAAGATGGCCAAAACAGTTACTAAAACTATAGCAAAGTGATAAATTCTTACCAGGATCAGTAGCAGATATAATAGCTCCAAACAAAAGGCAGTCTGAGAGACGCAAAGTTTGAGACAATGAAGTAATTCCACGGGTGAAGCCATAGCAAATGGTTCTGTTTAAAGTTAAAATAATGATCTCAGCTTACCCAACAACTAGAGCGGACAACAAAGTACCACCAAATGCATAAGTAAGAACGGCTCCAATATTTTTGAAAAAGTAGCCCTAAAAAATGAATCTGCGTTGGAATCAGACATACGCGTTTCATACTATAACCTGCTGAGAAAATTATAGGAGGAAGTAAAACATTAAAGAAGAATTCCGGGTCGAACGTAGCCTGAAAGTTATAAGACAAATTATAATACCTTGTTGTTGATTAAAGAGTTGAAATCCGATTGCTGCTCAAATTTGTACCGGAACGACATGCTTAAATTGAACTTTCCGTACTGGTCACGGACAGGAAACTCAATAATCAGTCTCTCTGGAGGCAAACGACCACCGCACGCTTCATCATTTTTACGTGAAAACACATGCATCTCCACGGTGTAATTTGAAGATTTTATAGCATATCTAAGTATAAGACCAACGACCAGTCCTATAAGTTATGAACCAAATGATGAAACTTACCATATACCACTGAAAGGCCAGTTTCGTGGATATATCGAAAGCGTCTATGTTTAAAAGCCCAGATTGTTATGACAGAAAGAGTTAGAAGCACTACATATACTAAAAGAATAAGATTATCCATTCGATGATCATTTTGCAGCCTTTGTTCAGTGTGCTTTTCGATAATTTTACTCTCATTTGCTAGACACTCATACGGATCTGACGACGGCATTTCCAATTTACCACCGATGGTAATTAGAGTACTACTAACACTTGAAATAGTTGATAAAAACAAACATACCCGTTTTTTGTTTAGGATGAATTAGCACTCATGAAGTAACAACCTGTAAAGAAAAAACCCATCACAATCTTATTCATTTTTTATTTTATAAACACATAACTTTTTGGACTGGTTTAGGGAGTATTGTTACGTTATGACCTGGAGACAATTGTTCAAACGGCTTAAATGGTTTTGGATGACGCAAAACAAATTCGTCCTAAATGAACCACTTTGTCTGGTATTTGTGGATCACAGTTATTATAAGGTATACACCTGAAATCATGAATTCGCTGGTGTTAGTAAATTAGTATGAGCCGGAACGTTACTCCAAGATTCGACCACTCGTAAACAGTAAAACTTGTACCTTTGGTTAAACCTACCACGTTTCACCTATAAATTCCCAGTATTTACCATGATTTATGTGTTAAGATTGACGATATTACGGTTCATGATGTTTTAGCTTTCTATAGTTTTACCATTGTTTCGCTTGTTCATTCTAAGCTGAAAAGATCCAATAGATTTATACATTCATGACGAGCGTTGATGATAAAAAAAAGGATGAACCTTGCTGAAGCTTTGCTCCCAGGATGACAAGGAATTTATTGATAGTTGAAAAATAGGTAGCCAGACAGACTGCAAATTTCATAACCTCGGGAGATTTTTGAAAGCACCTCGAGGCAGTGGTTTGAATTTTTTTCATTCAAACGATTTCGAAAGATTGAATGACGTCTACCACCTTTCACTTGATCAAGATCACGCTTTGGGATAATCATACAACAATATGATATAAGAGGTGGGTCCTCTTTCCTCAGAAAAATGTATTTTTCAAAATAATGTTGGCTTTGAGAAAAACTTTCCATAGGTCAGAGAGGAATTCGTTAGTTACAGTTTGCACAGTTCCAAAGTGTTTCACTTCAGAAAGTAGTATTTATGACAGAAGTGTCTTAAAAATAACTCTTATATTTTGGAAAGAACACAAAGGACTGCCACACGTTCAGTACTGGAGATACTTGTCTTACCGAGAAATCAAAAATCCTAGGAACACACAGGGTTCCACTTCCTAAGCACTGAAAAAAAGGACGGTTTGATTGTTTTACATAGAAATTTAAATGTATTTTGAATTTTACTCATGTGTTTTCCTCTCAGTTATATCAGAATATCATTGAGTAAACATCATGTGGGCTAAAAATTCGCTAAGAAATAAAACCCATTCGGTATACAAATTTTTTCGCTGAGTGGTATCTAAACCATTAAATCATCTATTCAATAAAGCACATGCTAGCAGGAAACCGTAGTAAAACTCCGGCCTTCTTCAATCGATAACCTTATTTGATTTTTTCAATTTCCTGAATCCTTTGGTTATTTCTGATATCCGGTAGTGTTACGAGATAATATTAACAGAACGATTTCAGAAAAGGTACATGATGTTAATGGAGAGTAAGTGCACTTTTTGTCAAATTTATTGTGATTACATGTTCCGTGCTGGTAGATGCCCCTCGTTTTATCAGTTGAAGAAACCAGATTAACGACCGAATAGGCCTTCATTCAGATTGTGGGACAGAGCAGTTTGAGAGCAAAATTGTCTTTTTCAAACATACGGGATTGATTGGCATTCAGTACGAAATAGTGGGAAGTATAATGACGTGATAAATAAGTAATTAACTTTCATGCTTAAATCTTCTCCTTTCCCATGACCTTGACTGCTCTGAATTACAGTGGCCATTCCGTGTTTGAAGTGCCTGAGGTCATTTGCGTGCTTGTATGCTAGCAGGATTCTCGGGTGCTATTATGTTCACGTGGTATGTTTACGCCTAAAAACCACCAGTCGTCGCTGACAACATAACCTATGCTCTTCTGCTTTTTTAGCGTTGTTTGCTGCTGTGAAGCATTGTTCGAAGTACGTCGTTTGGAAAATATCTTGGGGAGAGTCTATTATATCCGAGTGTGTATAACGTGATTGAAAATAAACACACATGATTCTGTAGTTCGACAATCTGTTTCTCACATCGTCCCACTAATAGTAAGTGAGTTTGGAGCCGTTGTATTCTTCGATTAGTGTTAATAGTAAGTTTTGCGACGCGGTTGATACATTTTCCCACCAATAATAAATTTTTGTTTTGTTTTCTTCCAATTCAGTCCCATTTTCCTGCCTTTTTCGATAAATAGATCGGTTGACCTGCTGCTCAGACGGCTCATGAGGAAGGCGGAATTCAGGACAGTGTTGGATGACTTCCAACACGTAAGATAAAGATCCTTATATACTTTATAATGCTCATACTCATTACATACAAATAGAAACCGCTCGTTATGTGACACTTGATTTAAGTATACGTTTGTTGTTTTCAAGTGTGCGATTGGTGGTAAATATGGGCTACAGGGTTTTGGAATGATTGATAAACCGCGAGAACTGTAAATCTAAAACGACACTTCAGACCCAAGTTACTACATTTCCAGCCAATGCTTCGCGTGGTTCTATGACAGAATAAGTACATGATGAAGTCATGACGAATGATATATAACCATCATTGTGAAAGTTCGTGAATGATTTTCGATCCTAGAACGAGGCGACTGGCCTCAGGGCACAAGGAAAATCTGAGACCATTACTGGTATTATCATCATCCTTAATTGAGGCTGTCGAATAAGTTAGAGAACAGACTGGTCATGAATTTTCTGTCACCGATTTGAGGGCAATGGAAGCGTATATGTCTGCCAATAGGCATCTATTCTTATATTTTCAGGCTGTGCTGCTCGATTGCAAATATTCCAGTTGCAAAGACAAAAACGTTAACTGAGGTTATTTCTCTCCTAATGCAGACTTATAACTAAAACTTGCTTTGGTATTTACCATCGGATTACTTTATATGAACAATATCCAGAAGTTTCCAGTATGGATTCTAACCACAATACAAAGAGCAAGGAGTGAATATGCTGCTTGATAACTGATAACTTTGGCAGTGGTCGCTCGATTTCATTTGCATGGACACGGACGGATAATGGAATAGATGCTAAGTGGATTTTAGATAGCCAAAATATTAGGTGATATTCACTAACTTGCTGTTGAAGGGAAAGTTACCACTCATTATTACTGAGACCTTGATAACTAAATAAATTCATTTCATGTATTCATGAACGACAGATTACCACTTCCTCTTCGCAGGTGCACTTAAGTGACCACACACTCAGTACTGAAAACTGTCCTTTATAATTCATCCAGCTAATATTTCATGCTATTTAATGTCACGTTATGCTGTGTCTACCTTTATAAGCTTATTTGTTTCTGGTGTTTATATCAATTTTACCTAAGAGTGCTAATTTTTTCTCCAACCCCGAGGAAAGAGAGTTGTTTTTACAAACTTGTTTCAGCGAAGGAGACAGCTTTTGAAATACATACCTTACTTCACACAACATAGTCAGTTTTTCATGTGGAGAGCTACTTATTTACGAAGATTTCGACAACCATTTTCAACAGTATTGACAGACTGCAATTCCAAGTCACTTGCTTTGGATTTAAACAGCAAACATGATCAGCCATTACTAATACTGCATAAAATCGTCGAGCTTTAGGGGTGCTCAATAAAGATAAATGCTTATTGCCACTGTCTGCTGTCGTCAACTGCATGAGTGCTCATAAAAGTATTCAAAACTACATCTCTTCAGTACAACTTAACCAAATCCAACCGAGTTTCGTGATTTATTCTACAAAATGCCACGACAACATGTTACACGCGTGCAAAAACGACCAGAATTACTTGCCGTTGTGCTTAACAAGGAAGTATAGGGATATTTTAGCTGTGCTGTTTTGATGTTGCTCAGATTCTTTTAACCAACTTTCAGTCAACCACCCTTAGTTGTCGCATTAGCTTTTTCCTATAACTGACTTCCATATGAATGTCGGTTCGATCGATTTGCCTAACAAGGACATGTCAGTTCCGTTTCAACAGGTTAATGGAGAACCACCAATCTGTTCAGCGCTTGATATACAATATTCGGAGATAACTCATTGATGCCGCAATTGGGCTCCCCGACAACATGTTGGTAATTTACGATTTTCCCATGCTCTACTCGGCTGTAAGTTATCTACCCACCAGCCTCTTGAGTCACACTTAAGTCAAAGATAAATGATCTTCGGAGTTAATTAAGGTAAGTCAGACCTGAATAATTGCTCCACCGTTTGTATAAAATAATCATATACGAAAAGAAACTGCACAGTGATGAGCTAATAATGTTCGTTTTCGCATAAGCCTTGAACCTGAACATATAACTACTGAGAATCGCATTTAATATGTAACAACTGGAGAAGATAATTTGTGGTGAACTCAGGAACAATCGATCTGTATATCATAGCTCGATCATACAGGCATGATCATTCTGTGTAACTTCTTCCTATCCGCATCAAATATCTTATTCTATCCATAGCCCAAACGTGACCCTCAGAAGTGTCGGAGATTACATTTGTGGAATTATGATCTACTTCGATATTTGCACTGCTCTAATAATAGACCTAATCCTAAAATGTTAGATTTGTTATGATGTAACTGCCGAATCTATAAGATATTATGTGGAATTCACATTAGTGTCTATACTGACTCATCGTATCGTAAGAATTACTGATATGTGATGGAGAACACATTCAGGCTGGAGATAGAACGATATATTTAATATGAGTAAGAGATATAAGGTAACATTCAACAGGAGCCACGCCTGCAAGGCCGAGTCATGCCATCCAATCAGCTCGAATTAATTCAATTCCGTCATTCTTCTCTCATTCTCCCTCGTTGGGTTTTTCTTCGAGTTAAACATTGGATATCTAGTTTCACAGTTGTCTAGTGTCCAGCTTTAAGGATTGTGTGGTTAGGGCCCAACGCTACTACACATTACTGATTGCCATCTGATACAAGTCAGTACGGACAATGATGTGGATTACATATAAAATCGGTTTGCCTTAAATAATAAATGAATTTATTTATTTATTCCTTTTCTAACTTTCTCTTCGTTTATT